AAATACAACCCAGTGCTGGGTAAAATAGGGACAAACCCAGCAATTGGGCTGTTTTGAGCCAGCGGTTGGGTTAAATGTTTAACCCAGCCTTCTGGGTAGTAACCCAACCACTGGGTCAAAACAACCCAATTGCTGGGGTTGTCCCTATTTTACCCAGCACTGGGTTGTATTTAACCCAGCATTTTTTAGAGTGTAGTATTAGGAGTACACTACCAGGAGTACACTATTAGGAGTACACTACCATTCAAAAGTTTGGGGTTGGTATGATTTTTAAAAATGTTTTTCAAAAGTCTCTTATACTCACCAAGGCTGCATTTATTTGATCAAAAATACAGTGTGTGTGTGTGCATATACAGTATATACAGTCAAACCAAAATTTATTCAGACACCTTCAACATTTCACACATAGAGTTAAACAGTGTCAGAACAAATTCATCTTGATAATGTCAGATGACACTTAAGCAAAACATGGTCAGGTCAAATTGTCTATATTGTGTATATGATTATATATATTTATCAATATTATTTATAATATTAATGTGATTTAATATTAATAATAATTAATTACATAATTTAATTACATTATATTATTACAATTTAAAAGAACATTTTTAGAGTTTGTGGTGCTGCCCCGTCGGGACTCCAAGGATGTGTTTATCCTTGGGGAAACTGATATAAGACAAATTCAATACCAATAGGGTCAGTGTACCTTTGGCTACTTTGTTTGGTAACACTTTATTTTAAGGACCAGTTCTCACTATTAACTAATTGCTTATTAGCATGCATATTACTAGCATATTGGCTGTTTATTAGTACTTATAAAGTTCATATTAATGAATGATTCTGCATGAGCATATTTTAGATCTCCATACCTAAACTTAACAACTACCTTACTAACTATTAATAAGCAGCAAATTAAGAGTTTGTTCAGGGCCTGTCTCAAAGAGAACGAGGAGAGCATGCGAGAAAAGGTGGGGGAGGTTGGCTAGTGTGTCATTGCTCTTCAACCATGAAAAAAATGCTGGGTTAAATACAACCCAGTGCTGGGTAAAATAGGGACAAACCCAGCAATTGGGCTGTTTTGAGCCAGCGGTTGGGTTAAATGTTTAACCCAGCCTTCTGGGTAGTAACCCAACCACTGGGTCAAAACAACCCAATTGCTGGGGTTGTCCCTATTTTACCCAGCACTGGGTTGTATTTAACCCAGCATTTTTTAGAGTGTAGTATTAGGAGTACACTACCAGGAGTACACTATTAGGAGTACACTACCATTCAAAAGTTTGGGGTTGGTATGATTTTTAAAAATGTTTTTCAAAAGTCTCTTATACTCACCAAGGCTGCATTTATTTGATCAAAAATACAGTGTGTGTGTGTGCATATACAGTATATACAGTCAAACCAAAATTTATTCAGACACCTTCAACATTTCACACATAGAGTTAAACAGTGTCAGAACAAATTCATCTTGATAATGTCAGATGACACTTAAGCAAAACATGGTCAGGTCAAATTGTCTATATTGTGTATATGATTATATATATTTATCAATATTATTTATAATATTAATGTGATTTAATATTAATAATAATTAATTACATAATTTAATTACATTATATTATTACAATTTAAAAGAACATTTTTAGAGTTTGTGGTGCTGCCCCGTCGGGACTCCAAGGATGTGTTTATCCTTGGGGAAACTGATGATATTCAGGTAAGAGTGTGTTAGGACCTTTGTTCACAGTTTCTGATTGTTAAACTGTACGATTAATGCATTAATTATCATTTCAAGCCCATCTTCCCAAGGTTCCTATGCACACGTACACACTCACAGCAGTTTCTCATCAGAATGCTGATTTCTCTTGGTGCCGTGCCATGACTTTTCTCACTTCTTTAGGTGGCTCAGGTTCTACTTCTTGTTTAATGATGAACTGTTGGAGATTTTGGCTCAGACGCGGAACCCTCAGGCTGTGCAGCCTCATCTGAGGAAGTGTTTTGATGCAATATCCCAGCTGGAGTTCGCCCTGCTTACCCCTGGAGAGGGCGAGACTGGTCACAAAATACAGTACACTAATGACATCTTAACCATGGTGTCACCTGAAGGAGAAAATGTGAATTTTCTTCTTTTCTTTTCTTTTCTTTTCTTTTTGTATAAGACAAATTCAATACCAATAGGGTCAGTGTACCTTTGGCTACTTTGTTTGGTAACACTTTATTTTAAGGACCAGTTCTCACTATTAACTAATTGCTTATTAGCATGCATATTACTAGCATATTGGCTGTTTATTAGTACTTATAAAGTTCATATTAATGAATGATTCTGCATGAGCATATTTTAGATCTCCATACCTAAACTTAACAACTACCTTACTAACTATTAATAAGCAGCAAATTAAGAGTTTGTTCAGGGAAAACTGTTAATAGTGAATAGTGAATATGTGCTCCCCAAGTGTTACATTTGTTTTCTCATTTTTGTATAAAAAAAAAAAAAAATCTAGACCCTTCTTCTGGTCAGTGAACATTCTGACCATTTAATTTCCTATTTGG